CCAAGTTCTAGCATCATGGACACACAGGCCTTTAGAAAAAGAAAATGAACTAGACGAGAAAGCCAACGGCACACGATACTATTTTTCCTACTGCATTGCTCACGTGGATCAGTAAGGATGCAGAATTTTCGATCAGTTGACTTAAGGCCAATTTCTGATTGGCTATCGTAAGCAATCCAGTAGGAAAAATAGTTTCGTGTATCGTTGACTTTAGCCGAGGGGGAAACAGCTGACCGAAATCTTGTACACCACAATGCCCTCAGCGGTTTCCCCCTCGGCTTTAGCCTTACGTCACTTGATCGAAAACTTTGCATCCTAATTGGATCTCGTAAGCAATCCAGTAGGAAAAATAGTATCGTGTGCCGTTGGCTTTAGCCTTAAGTCATCTGATCTAAAACTCTGCATCCTTATTGGCTCTCGCAAGCAATGCAGTAGGAAAAATAATATCGTGTACCGTTGGCTTAAGATTAAACGGATCTAAGGGCCAATTTCACAAACATCGGTTAACTGTTGTTAAATCAGAGATTAGTCGACTCTTAATCTTTTTATACATTATTATCTAAGAAGAAACAGAGAATCGATTAGCCTATCAGTTAGCAGTTTGCCGACGTTTGTGAAACTGGTTCTAAATGCGTGAAAATAAAAAGAAGTGCTACGTTAGCTGTCTCTTCAAGTGCAGATTGTATAGACAAACATTCGTCGGCATTGTATCAGTGTGTACAGACTCTCCATCTTATCGCGATAAGGGTAAAATGAGAAAATAATGAATAAGAAAGTTAAAAAAAACTTCGTAGAAGTAAATCAATGAAAACGTATGCCAAGCCATGCAATACGTGAGATATATTATATAATCATAGAAATGTCCAGGCAATGTCCCCGGTCTGTTCACATATACGGTACGCTAACCAACTCGATACTCGCCTTTCAGTTTTGCTATTGAGAATTATTCCTAGGGGATAAATCTGTCGGACTTCGTTGTGCCTTAAGTCGTGCACGGCCTCGCGTGAACCCGCGGCTTGGTTTGACGATCCTTTGCGGACAATTTATCGCATTTCTGCGTGATACAATGCGGAGAGCCCGCGTTGTACGTATATGCGACAACATTGCTCGCGGCGCAGCATGCACGCAGGCGGGTATACGAGGAATAAAAATGGAATGCCAGGACGGAATACTTCCGATGAATTGGAATTGACACTGATGCAAAAGGACATTGCCAAGAAGACGCAGCACGCGATCTTGAAACAACTCAAACGAAAATAGCGATGGCAATGCAAAGAGAAGTGCTTTTCATAGAGCACACATCGCCCGACGGTCAACATTTTGATCGAAATAATTTTTTATGAATAAGTTTCGGCTATGAATAAACACTGCAATTACTTCTTGTTACAATCTGTGCTCGTATCCTTATTAATTTTCGAAAGCCTGACAGCTGTCGGCCTGGAATAAACAAGTATTTTGTAAACTTGATTTTAAAAGAAAGCGTGTAACATAATTTAACACAATTCGTTGCTTTTTGAGTAACTGTAACTGTAACGCGTTACTTTTCAGAATTGGTAACGTGTAACTGTAACTAGTTACATTTGTAGCGAAAGAACTGTAACTATAACGAGATACTTTTATAAAGTAACTTTTCCAACCCTGTAGGAGACTTTCCTCTGTGTTAAATCGCTGATAGGCAAAGTGTATCAGTAGTGGAGCGTAATATTTTCACGAACTGGAATATCTAAGGAGAAATATTGATTTATATATATATATAATAGCTGTGACATTAACTAATATTAATTAAGAATAATGGAAAATTAAATTATGGACCGAGTTTTACATAAATCAATGAAAAATAAGATAGTGAATACGAGCGGTATGTCGTGTAATATCAATGAGATGTTTACAATTTTAGGACAATTTTTTAATTCACGCTGGCAGGCGAATGACAGGTTAATCGTGTAACGCGACCGTAATAAGTGAACACTCCATAATAGCATTCTTTATGGATTGCATTAGGCACGCATCTAGTTGAATTAATTTAATCTTCGTCCGGCAAGAATACTATGTATGTATATCTGTATCTAGACAATTCCGAGCAATTTAATCCCCTCTATAAGCTTGCGCTAAACCAGTCATAAGTTACTTTTTCAATATCGCAAACATGCATATTTCCGTTAAAGACACGTGCTTGATTAATAAGATAGATAGATCTTTCACAATATCTCGTAATAATTTTTTCGTTACGTTCATTGAAACAGTTTGTGCGTAACTTGTGAGCTTCTATTTTTTCAAAGAGAAAATTGACACGCGAAGTGTAACATTCAGGATCTCAAGACACGAGGGATATTTAAATTTAAGTTATAATTTGACAACTACGGAGAAAAGAAAAGGTAGTTACCGATGCAGATTATTTTTCAATCTAGTTCGACTTCCTTGGCATTAGCGCCAAGGGAAGCTTCTTTTAGCTTGCTAAAAGAATTCTATTTTTTTTTTATCAAATAGGTTTGATGACTTTCTCCTATATAAAAAAAGGCGTGTTAAGTCGATAATCGAAAGTCTCGAAGTATACAACAATACTTCGTTGTCGCTTTTCCGAAATGCTGATTAGCCGTCTCGCTTGTGCGATACGACATGCTTCAGTCGTGTTATTTGCAGCTATCAAACCATGCAAATCTTTAGATAGAGCCGAGGGGGAAACCGCTGACCAAAATCTTGTACACCAATGCCCACTAATGCCCAGTGGGCATTACTTTATCTTCTTTTATCGTATTTATCGTGTTTTATCTTATTTTATCTTACTGTACCTTATTTCATCTTATTTTATTTTTATAATGCCCCAGCAAGACGTAATGCCCAAAAAATGTCCTAGTAATGCCCAGTAATGCCGCAAATATGTACACCACAATGCCCTCAGCGGTTTCCCCCTCGGATAGAGCAAATGGTGCGCGCTTGTGTTGTCTAGTCTTAGATAAAAAGAAGCTTGTTTCCCCCTAAAAATTCCATTAA